GCCCCGGTGCGCGGGGACCGGCGCTCCCGTCACCGCCCCGGCCCCGCTGCGGCACCGGCCGCGACCCCCGCCCGCACCCTCGGGACCCCCGCGCCGCTGTTTGGGGGGCACCGAGGGGATGTCTGCGCCTCCAGAGTCCCCCCCGGATGGGGGGACCCCCCAAAAAGCTCGAGGTGGAGGCAGAGACCCCCAAAACCGCGTCGGTCCCCCCCCAGACCGCCGGGAGAGGGGGCAGGGGGTGGTTTTGGGGTGGCAGTGGCTGTTTTGGGATGGTTTTGGGGGTCCTTTTGGGAGCTCTTTTTTGGGTCGCTGCTGCCGGCCGAGTGTTTTAGGGGGCAGAAAAAGGGGGAAGGGGCTCGGAGGAACACCAAGGGCAGCAGGGGGAAGTTACACCTCCCCAAAATAGCCCCAGATAGCCCAAAATAGCCCCAAAAAACCCCAAAATAGCCCCCAAAAAACCCAGACACCCCCGCTGGGTGGAGGGGATGGATCTGGGGCCACCCCAAGTCTCTGTGGGGACCCCAGAGGGATGGAAATGGGGGGACAGGAGGGATGTGGGGTGAGGGAAGGGGGGGACGCCAGCTCACACATCCTCCCCAGAAACGGGGTACCCGGAGGTGCTGCTGCAATGGAGCCCCCATTTCCCACCCCCGGATGAGCGGGACCCCCCAGTTTGGGGACAGGGGTGGGACTGGGGGGGCAGCAGGGTCATGGGGAGGGAAATGGGGTCCCCCATGCAGGGCAGGGAATGGGGACCCTGAAAAGGGGGACAGGCACCCCAGTGAGGGACACGGGATGGGGACCCCGATGTGGGGCTGGGGACCCCAGTGCAGGACACGGTGACCCAGTACAGGGATGGTGACCCCAATACGGGCGCGCAGAGGTGACACACGACCGGAATGGGGACCCCAGCTCAGGGCAGGAAAACGGGGTCCTCGATGGAGGTCAGGGCATGGGGGACCCTCGTGCAGGTCAGGGGAACCCCAGAGCAGGTCAGGGGATGGAGCCACAGTGTCGGGACCCCAAAATGGGGCTGGCGGTCCCAATACAGGACAGGGTGACCACAAAATGGGGCCGGGGGTCCCAATATGGGGCTGAAGAGCTCATGCAGGACAGGGTGACCCCAAAATGGGGCTGGGGCTCCCAGTGCAGGACAGGGTGACCCCAAAATGGGGCTGGGGGCCCCAGTGCAGGACAGGGTGACCTCAAAATGGGGCTGGGGGCCCCAGTGCAGGACAGGGTGACCCCAATGAGGGCCGGAGGTCAGGGCTGTGGGCTGGGCTCGGGCTCCTTGTGCCCGTCCCACCGTCCCATCATGGGGGGGGCACGGGGCGCCAGAGCCGGGTCCCCTCATGCCAGGGAGAGGTGGGAATAGGGGTGTCCGGTGCAGGGTCGCGGGGGGCCCCCCCAAATAAAGGATATGGCCATTCGGTGATCTTTTTGGCGTATTTCCTCACCACGTTGTCCTCGCTGAAGAGGAAGAGCGAGCGGTTGACGGTGAGGCAGTTCTGCCGCACCGGGATGGGGTTGTACAGGGCCATGGTGCGGGCGCGCTGGGCCATGGACTGCTTGTAGAGCCGCTGCGCCCCGGGGGGGCCCTGCCGCGGGCCCCCCCCCGCCGCTCCCCGGCCCCCCGCCGCCGCCCCGGGGCCGCTCCCGCCGCCGCCGGGCCCGTAGCGGGCCGCCACCTCCTCTCCGAAACGAGCCATCCCGCCGGGCGGGGGGGGTCACGCTGCTGAGGCCGGCACCGCCGAGGAGCTCATCACATCCCATGGGCACCCCCCCAAAAAAAAACCTCGGGGGGGGTCGGGGTCCGGTCCCGACCGGGCGCGAGGCGCTCAGGAAGCGGCGGACGGCGGCAGCGGCGCCGGTATCCCGAGCATCCTCCGGTTGCGGCGCGCCCCCCCC